CCTCGCTTTCCTTCTGAAATTTTGACCTTCCTCCAACTCCTTGTTCTCACATTACAGACACAGTCCAATAAAAAACCATTTTCATGTGCAGTCCCACTGCTATTCCCTCCACTAACATTTCCCTCCTCAATGTGCTGCTTACACTAACTGTCCAGTTTGCCTCCTCTCCAGCTCAACACAGGCTCCTCTCTAAGCCAGATAACACCAATATCCAGCTAAAATTACCCTCACTAATATCTGCCCAAGACAAAACTCAGAATCCACACTCCTTCTTGATTCTTCTTGATCATCTCTGTCACTACCAACCCTGTCATTTCTCCTCAGCTCTCACCCCATTCAGTCTCCTTGGGTTCTCTTACTCTCTTCCTACTTGTAAAATTGCTATTTTAAGATAAATAGCTGCGTCTGCTGCTTCCTCTATGTCCTAGGAAACCCGCTATTGTTTCATGTCTCTTTTCCCTGTATATTTTGCACTCTTACCTCCTGCACAGGCACAAATATAGCTGTTATTCCCGTTGTGGTGATTCAGATCCAACTTTCCTGCATCAACGCTGTCTTCTCTAAAGTCTAGCTAAAAACCTGAGCAGTCCATGAAGCATCTCCTCAGTACCGATAAAACCAAGTGATTTTAGTCTTTCCTTAGTTCTCCATCCTTCCTGCTGCTTGCTTTCTTCATCACGATGGATCCCTCTCTAAGCCTGTCATTGGGTATCCATCTCTGACTTGGATCTCCTCCTAGAGTCTCACACATCAGCTGCAAATCCTGCTGATCCATCCTATATAACAAGGCTGAAATGTGTTTCTTTCTATCCATTCATATAGATAATGCTTTGATTCAAGCTCTCGCCACTTCACTGACAATGTTTCTTTTTTTCTGGTCTGAAAAGTGCTGTCTTACAATCCTATTACACATCTAGACCACGGTGCATAGACCTAACACCCCATCTTTACCATATGATCCCTATCTTTGTGTCTTTCCACTGACTAACGGTTCTCCATCACATCAAGGATGAGCAACCCTTGCTTATTCTTACAGCCCTGCATGGCCTAGTGTGAAAATGTTGGCTCACACCTATGGCCAAATCAATCAGACCATTAAATTAATCTTCATTATTTATTGCTTACATTTTCAAACTGTGACTTTTTTGCCTTCTTCCATGCTTTTCCGCTTACTTAGGAGGAATTGACCACAAACACAAACCAATCTCATACAAGGAGAATTCACCATAACCCTACAAATCTTTCCTGAAAAAAAATCCCAAACATATTTCTTCTTGGTATCTTGCCAATACACCGTCTGCTGACCACCGTCCATGCTGAGGGTCAGGATGCTCTGACAGATTCCTCGTGCTCCCCCTCGTGTCTGCTCTCAGACTGCTGGCTTTTGGGAAAAAGCTTTATTCATTTTATGTCTGGCCTAGGCTCAGCACTAGGGTTCCCAGTGTCTTGGAAATGGAAATAAACAAGGGTACACCATACTTTGTAAAAATTGATCTCCTGTAGTGCTTCAGGCTGGCCATTCACACATAAAAGCACAATGCAGTCAGTCACTAATCTCTTTTGAAAATGTAGATCTAGGTTATTATTATTAGGGCAGAATTTTCAGGAATAAATTCCAGTGTCTTTATGCCATGTCAACAGTACAGAGCACCCACAGACTCAGCCTAAAAGCCAGCTAATCCTTCCCAAGCTGCAAACATCTAAGGACGATGAGGTTTAACTGCTGCCTTTCAATAATTCAGAAAGGAAAGCCTGCGTTTACAAAATCATTTTAACCATTTCTCCACGAAAGTAACTGTTCTGAACATAAAACACCAAACACCGAGTAACTGCATGAAAAGTTACTTTCACCTTTTTTAATGGCATTTCCAGCTAGTGGGAATGCTTATCCTCAAATTTAATGGTACTCGTTGAGTCAGCAATAAGTTCCTTACAGGATACATTTGAACTCCTACAATAAGTAGCATAAAAAGCCTCATGGTCATACATAGCAAAGATCCAAAACAGGCATTTGGAGAAAAAATCAAACAGATGAAGAATAACGCTTAGAGTAGCAGACACATGTCCTGGTCCAGCCCTGCCCTTGTTAAAATTGTTTGGAAAGCAAATATCTCCTGGAAATAGACATCTGGGCTCAGGGAAGGGAGAGCAGAAGCAGAAAAAGTGGCTATTCACTTTCTGTGCACTGCTTTCTTTAAAAACTGGCAGTCATGAGTAAATAGCATTAGTGCTACAGAAATACCTATTAAACCAAAGAGGCTCTGTGGAGTGTGATGATGATGCACAACAGTAACTTCAAGAACTAACTGGAATTCTTACGATAAAGACTTTATTAAAATGTAATTTAAAAAAAACAATTTAAATGAGCTAAAAAAATTTCACTTAAAAAAAAAGCAACTTGAATTAGCTAAACCAAAGATGGTGGGAGAGGGGCAGCCAAAAGACGCTTTCAGGCTGAACACCCCCTCCCCCCAGTCTCACTCCAGGCCCCCTGCTCCCCGCCCTCCCCAGCAGCACCCCACTGCCACTCTCCCACCTCTCACTCACCACACTTCAGTCAGCAAGGCACTGGCTGACACCTGAGTGCGTGCACTGTGGAGACCTTATCAGTCTGGACGGTCGGGCAGCAACTGCGACCATCACCATCCCACGGGGCTGCGTGAAACCAGCAGCAGAAGCCCTGAGATGTTACAGGGCTATTTACCTTCCTGTGAAAAGAGCAGACACCAGATCTGGTGAGTGAAGTATGAGGAAAAAGGAAAGGTCAAATGTACCGGGCAGCTACATAAGTTAAACAATAATCCCCTCAACTCACAGCCTAATTCTAGGGATCCCCTACGCTTCCTGCCTGCACCTACTTTCAGTCCTTGCTCGGGGAAAAGGTCTCTTCAGGGGGCCCCTCTTCCCCTTTCTTAGAAGCTGGGGAAAGGCTCCATCTGTTCAGGATGGCCAGGGTGCAAAGGGTGCTCCTAAAGTTAAAGCTGTCACCTGCTTCCAGAGCTGAGGTTCATGAGAAGAGACCTTTACCTCAACAGATATAAGGGCAGCAGAGGGCAAGAGAGACGGGGGATCATGTTTACAGTTTCATTGACTCGTGCTAACACGTCAGTGAAAAGAGATTTGCTGTCCTGAAGAGAATGTCTCTTTGTGGAATGGCCAATCTTTTAGCACCTACATTAAGATGAATCCTATTTCCATTATTGATACCGTATTGCCCTATCAAAGCAGACCTCATTACCCTACACATTCCTCAGCAGAACATCGTCCTAGGGGCACATCTGAACGCCTTTTTAAGGCAAACTCCCAGGCATGCATCTACAACTTGCTGCGTTGTCTTTCATGCAACTATTCCACACAATAAAGTCACCGAACAGTCAGCCAGCCATAAGCTCTTGCTTTCCTATGGGGACCAGCCAGAACGAAGAGATGAGCAACAGGGAAACTAGTGAGGGAGCCACGTCATCTTCATTTGGGGCTAGAATGTTTCCCTCAGAACCGCACGCTGAACGTAGGCAGGGTTTCACTATGGCCGTTACTCTTCCCTCACATCTGGTGCGAGTCCAGCAACTTGAGCGTGCCTGGGCACGTGCTTCCTGGTGTCCCTTCCCCTCCCTCCCTCCTTCAGAGGGGACCAACTGCCACTGGGGTGTTCAAAGACCTCAATGCCTGCAAGTTTGCACAGCGTACCGAACACGAAGCGGCTCTCTGTCCTCGAGCTGGAGAGGTCTAGCCTGTTTCTGGCTCCCCAGTTCAAGAAAGATGAGGAGCTACTGGAGAGAGTCCAGTGGAGGGCTACGAGGATGGTGAGGGGACTGGAACATCTCTCCTACGAGGAGAGGCTGAGGGAGCTGGGCTTGTTCAGCCTGGAGAAGGCTGAGAGGGGACCTAATAAATGTTTATAAATATCTGAAGGGTGGGTGTCAGGAGGATGGGACCAGACTCTTTTCAGTTGTGCCCAGTGACAGGACAAGGGGCAATGGGCACAAACTGAAGCACAGGAAGTTCCGTCTGAACATGAGGAAGAACTTCTTCCCTCTGAGGGTGATGGAGCCCTGGAACAGGCTGCCCAGGGAGGTGGAGATATTCAAGACCCGCCTGGACAAGGTCCTGTGCAGCCTGCTGTAGGTGACCCTGCTTCGGGAGGGGGGTTGGGCCAGATGACTCACAAAGGTCCCTTCCAACCCCGAACGTTCTGTGATTCTATGTTCTGTTTCTAGCTACCGACGCCCGTGAGCACCACACCGCCCGCCACCTCCCGAGGTGACCACACGCCGCTGGCGACATCTGTGGCAGGCAGGGCACGACACCCACACCACAGCGCCTGCTCGGCACCCGTCCTCCCCTCACCCTTCGCGCTGTGACTCCACGCACACAGTGTCGGGGATTGACGCGCTCTCGCTTCGTCGAGCTCACTTCGGACACCAGGCGGGCGGCTGGCCGCACCCCGACCTCTGAGGAGACAGCTTTCAGCCCCCCCGCGCCAGCCTCCGGCCCGCACGAAA